CACCGTTCTTGAGATTATGATTATTTTGTTTTCAAAACTGTTGGCGATCGTTCCAGTTCTTCACAACTCAGGAAAGGTGCAGCGAATTCACGCAACGACTTCAGCTTTTGCTACAATCAGCGAGAATGGAGAAGTGGTTACCTGGGGCAAGGGTATTTGCGGTGGGGACTCGAGTGGAGATCCTCAGCAAGCAAACCTCAAATTGTTTGATGCTCTTTTGTGGGATCTTCCTTTCTCTTTTCATGTTTCTTGTCGGACTAACGAATTGCGGTGTTGAAACATGCAAAGAGAACCCCTGGAAAAAAGAAACACACACTTTTCATAGATCAATGACGAGCCCGCACGGATCCACATTGATGACGGGCCCTTCAATGAGTCCTTGCGTTTGTTTGGTAAAACAAGGGTCACCTTCCTGTTCTCCCCGACCTGCCAGTGTTGCCTTCCTTCCCACCCTCCTTCCTTCCGCCTCCTCCTCATCTTCCTCATCCTCGTCCGCCACTGTCGCCCGCGCCCTTGCCCTTGCGGGAATGGCGCGCGCTGGACTTTTACCGGTCAGAATTCATTCAGAACACATATCAGAACCGAAGTCGGACCATATGTCAGAGCACAACCAGATTAGATGCTCTAGCATGTCACAAGTATATACATGCCACATCATGCCACAAGATATGGCAGATGCCAAAACGATGTCAGGACCTGTTCCAGAACATGTCCCAACCTTTCTGCTGGATAATGTGTCAGACCACATACCGGGCTTGATGCCAGAACAAATTTCAGAACATTGTGCCAGTAGCCTGTTGTTTTCCATGCAGGGATCAGACGAAGTAAAACATTCTTTTTCAGGTGCCATGTCCATGGAAACAGCGTGAGGTCCAAAGTGACTTGAAGAATGTGAAGCAGATTGCTGCAACCGCTTCAGCCTTTGCCGCCATTTGCGATAGGGATCGGGATGGTGAGTTGGTGAATGTGGTGACTTGGGGAAACCCATCCTGGGGCGGCGACTGCAGTGAGGTTCAGCATGAGCTAAAGGACTGAGGACAACAAACATGTTGGTAATTACGCATGATAAGTTTGCTAAATTGTTCTGACTATATATATATAATACTCGTAGAAAGTATAAACTAACAAAAAATGATAAAAACAACTAGTGACTAGTGTGTTTTTATTTGTTCACCCGCTGCCAACAAGCTGCAGGATGTCCAGCACATATTTGCTACACGTTCTGCTTTCGCGGCAGTTCGCCAAGATGGACGAGTGGTGACATGGGGCAATCAGGTCTCAGGCGGCGATAGTCGTGAAGTCCAAACTGAATTGAAAGACGTGCGACACATCTCCGCGACCAGTGCAGCTTTTGCAGCACTACGACAGGATGGACGTGTGGTAACCTGGGGCACGGCTGCATGGGGTGGCGATTCTGCTCACGTGCAGCAGGAACTTGTGGAGATACAGCAGACTTTTGGTTGAGCAATTGAAGTTTGGTGACCTAAAAAGTTCAACTCTCAAGTGGGTGAACCCATCCTAAGGGTCCATCACCGGCCAAACATGTTCGGCCCTGTTTTTGTCCGATCCAACTCGGGTCGAGGCATCTATGCCTCGTGTGACATGCCACGGAATGGTCCCACTGGGCCCCACCAGGCTTGACCCCAAACCGTTAACGTCCAACACCGTGGAGTTGGCTCGTCATCATCGACGTTTGGGACGAATCCGCTAGCTAAAAACATGGGGGCATGTGTACCAAGTCAACCAAGTCAAGGGGAGTACATGTCAATGTGTTTACTTTTGTTTAAAATCCCATACAATGATCAACTGTGTCCGAAACACTTTGGACATCCAGACCTTCAACCCAATCTCTGGTGTAAGGGGAAACAAATTACAGCCAAGTTGTTTGTTGTGAAGTCTCTCCCCTGATTGTTGTTTGGTTCCTTCTTTTGCTGGCCATCATCAACTCTTCCAGTGAATAGGGCACCCCCAATGCAAACATGTTTGTATTTTTTATATCTTAAATGAAATGGTTTAAACATGTTTAAACACCAATGAAGAGGAACCCCAATACACACTTGCTTGACCACCAAAAAGACATGGAGGGATCCGCTCCGGAGAATGCCGATCCTCAACCTCATCCAAGGGTTCAGTCCACTATGACGGCTTTTGCAGCTTTGCGAGCTGATGGATCTGTAGTGAATCCTGGTCCTGGTGCGGGGAGCGTTGCAGTTTTGTGATTGTTTGTTTCATTGGAACAATACCCAGACACGACCCATGGGACTGCCATATATACCGCCCCATTCACCCCCAGTTTACCACCCCAACTGATCGGCATATATGGCAGTCCCATGGGTCGTGTCTGGGATATGTCGCCATTGACAGACCGTCGGAAGATGGTGATCCCTGGGTGCAGTTTGAGGATCTGCAGACACTTCTGGGACGTCAGAAATCTGACCATACCAAGAAGCGGCCGGGACACTGTCTACCATAGGGAATGATTGGTTCCTTCGTTCCAAGTGAAAATATGTTGGGGGTTATTGGGATTGGGTACGGATTGGGCATCCTTTGCATCGAGAAATGGTGAAAGGAAGTGCTTTGTCTTTATTTGTGCACCCAATTCCTGGCATTTCGTTCAATCAGTCTGGAGCAGTCACCTTTTCAATCACAGGATGGGGCGATGAGGCATGGCACATGGGTTGGCACCCAATTCACAGTGCCACATTACGATATAGATATAGGTGTCCAAGCAGATAGGATATTTATTGGTATGACCCTTTGATGCCATTGTACCAAGTCAGAGCATAGCAAGTCTTTTTAATGTTATAATGTTGTTGTTGTTTTCCTGTATAGGCAGCATGATCTAAGGTGGAATGAAGGCACATATGCTCCAGTAGACTGGGGACACACAATGTTGACAGGCCTTGAGCACATGACTGTGATGAATCGAACCGACGCGAACCTTTCGCCAGCAAGGACTTGGGGATTTCCAGCGAATGGTGGTGACAGCAGCCGTGTGATGGATCAACTGAGAAACTTGGCATACTTGTGGAGTCAAGAATGGTATCGATTTCCCACTGTCCCCAATTTTGTGGGCAGAAACACACCATTTGGGACATACTTGTGGGACCTATCCGTCACGCGTCTGCACAGGGTCAAGACAGCTTCGCCATGAATGAACAATTGATCTGTGGACAATTGTGGAAAGATCTTGAAAGGAGACACAGTGTGATTGAACAGATCTCCTTTTGAAAGAGATCTTGTTTGAAAGGAGATCAGCCATGGTCAAGACAGTCTCCGTTCATCACGTTCGAAAGCGCCTGTGACTTCACTTTGTGTCCAAGAATGGTTGACAACGCCGGATGAAAACCCCTTTCCTCCGATTGGCCCACTGCGGAACCCTTTTCTGACCCCACTCAGCTTCCCCAAATCACTAGTCACCTATACGGGCGGAATGCAAGGATGCCTCAAAAACGATCTCAAAAGAACACAGCTTTGCACATCCAAATTGAAAGCTGCACCAGACGCTTTCCCCCCCCCCAACCTGCTCCCGCTTGCTCCCTGTCATCCTGAGCTCTCATCCAACGCCCTCGGAGCTGGCTGATTCTGAAACCGGCCGACTTCTGGGGCAAAACCAGCCGAGTTCTCCCGCCATGGGCAGGAACGAAATGAGTGCCCTGAATGGGCGGTTTTGGGAGGTCCAAACCATGGGTTTTTCCCAGCGATTCCGGCCCAAACCACTGAGTTTGGAGACCCAAATCGGGAAAAGACGAAGGTTCGTGCCTCATATTCTATCCAATTCTTGTGTATTTAATGGATGGTTACTGAAATTACCAATATAGAATTCCGCGTGAAGCATCCAATTTCTATCCATTTGTGTGTGTGTGTGTCCTTTTTGGGGGTTACTAATGGAGTCAGAAGTTCCGGGCCGATATGTTAAATCTTCAATTTTGCAAACGCTCCCTGACCTCAAAGTCGCCCAAAGTTGCCCAAACGTTCAGGAGATGTGTTGCAAATCAAATCGACCTGGTATGCCTTTGCCGCCATCCTCTCGGAGGGCCGTATCGTGACCTGGGGGCAACGGAACTGCGGCGGAGATTTGAGCCCTCAGCTCAGTGCAGAGCTCATGACCTTGATGTGAAAAAGGATGGGCTTCGTGTGTTGCAGGAAGCAAAAAAGCATGGGTCAAGAGTCAAGAAGTGCCAAACATCTTTATTTGGTTGCAGAAGAAGCGGCATGAGCAAAAAGGCAAAGGAGAGCGGCATGACATGAGCACTATATGTATTTATAGAATACACATATATGACTCCACTGCGCATGGAGACACCCTCGCAAGCCGCTCCATGTTGGTCGACTCCTGGGCGGGATACGATCCCAACGGCTCATCCCGGTCCATGGAGTCCAACGGACCCGATGGATTGCCGTCACGGAGGTTGGGAGGTTGGATCGGTGTCCAATCGGAGTCATCTCCCATGGTTTGAAGACCCCAAAATCAATCAGGTGAGTAATGAAGGCTCGATCGTCTGAAGAAGGAAAGGACTTCAAACTGCGACACGACGTACATCCCCGCCTGTCTTTTGCAAGTATCTTGTCGTGGGGTGGGCGTCAATATGCGTCAATAGTTGCAATGAGATCCGTCCATTCAAATAACAAGAAAACCCAAGTCGATGAAACCACGTTGCAAGGTAACCGGCTTTGAACGATGCTGTGGATGCTGTGGAAACTGTTCCGTCTAAAATGATTTATATTGTTGGATTGTTTAGGTGGGTTACTTCTTCAGAGAGGCCCCTTCCTCATTTTCTTGGAGTTTCATGCCACTTTGAACCCCCACATTTAAGGCGGTAGACCAAATATGGTTACAAGTTACAAGTTATTTACAAAAGTTTTTACACGATGACAAACTATAGAAGATATAGAAGTCGCTGGAGCAGGTGGTAGGCAGATGACAAGCCTGCTGACCTCAATAAGAAGAGGCTGGATCCATGATTTTCCATCTTTCAGCCGCTTGTAGCATCTTGCAGGGCCTGGAGCATCTCCGACCTGGCAGCTCAAGCCAGACAGTCTGCGCGGACTTCTATGCGCCTGTGCGTCAGGGAGGGAGAGGCGAACCCGTTTCCATCAAACCCCCTTAGCCTATTCTATCTTTGTGCAGTACATTGCAGTACCGTGGGTGCGATCTTTTCTCCTTCCTGGTTGATTAGACTGGCTACACAAGCCTGCAGAAGCATGCATTAATTAAGGCGATCAAACCCAGTAGTCCACATGTCCATACACCTCCAAGAATTTGCTGTTGGAAAGGCTGACACCACTCCTCATCATTGTAGACTATAATATATATATATATATAATCCTCCTTGAAGTTTTCACTACAGAATGAGACACCCCGGACTGTTTTGACAGGGGGCATTTTGTAGAGACTTACAGGGGGATATTATATACCTGGAGCCTTTTTGTGACCTCTGTTTTGGAGGATCAACTATCCAACATATGGTCAAACTTCCTATCAACACAAAGGTCAGTCAGGCTCTAGGTATATCCCTAGGGATCCAAGTACCTTCTCACAAGGTACTTGGACCCTCCAAACCTACATAACAGCGCCTCCAATCACCTTCTGAGAAGGTACTTGGATCCCTAGGGTATATATAATACAACACCTATAAGATCAAGAGCTCCATTCGATGCCGCCGCTCGCAGAGTAGATGGCCCCATCCGTTCTTCGGAACGTTCGCTCCGTTCTTCGGGCGGAACGAACGAAGGAGGTGGACGGGGCCACGTGAACCGGGGCGGCACGGGGGCGTGAAGCATGTGGATTCTTCATGGTTTTTTGGGTTGGAATTCTCCATGAGTCTCCGATTCTCTGCAAGAACCATGCATTGGTCCATGCACAGAAGTGAAAGAACTCTCTTTATTTTTCCACAGTGACTCGCTGTCCACAAGGTCCTCTCAGACGTGGTCCGAAGCTGTCCGCCCTTTTTCGAAGCGGTCGACTTCAGATACCAACTGGTCCGGCCATGGGCAGCCACAGATCCCAGGTCACCGACCATCACCGACCACTTCTTTGAGGATCCTATAGAATCCTAGAGGATCCTAGAGGGAACAAAGCACTCCTTGAAGAACTCATGCGTGCATCATGCTGGCTTGCGTCGCTTGCGTGAGGGAGTTTTCATCACAGCCAGCTGTTTGCTCCGAGTCGGGATTTCATGGTCATCCAACATGTAGGGCGTTAGTTCTGCCATACATGTAACCATGGATTCTTTCAGGGAAATGTAATTGGTTGTGCAGAATGGAACATAGGTTGAGGTGCTGAACTCATAGGGCTTACCATTTACATCCATTTACCCACTCTTTTGAAACAGATTTGAAGACCTTTAAAGACTCCATTTGAGATCATTCCCTCGTCCTCAGGATGCCACCGTGCCGGGCGGCACAGGCAGCACTCGAGCAGCGATGTCATGGATGGAGCGGCATGAAATCATTGTCATGTACTAACCCTACACCTCCTGGCCTACCTCCTGAGAAGATGGTTGGGGTGGGTGTCAGGGGGGTCTAACCACCGGTCACCTGAGGATATGGGGCAGGAGCCCTAGGGTAAATTTTAGGGTTGACGGTCCCACCTCAGAAGGACTAACAAACCCGCCAAACCAACCTCGACCACATTCAACCACCACCTTTTTCAGATGTGGGCCAGGAGCCCGGCTGGGGGGCCCGTTGGGAGAGCAAAACATGTGCGCTGGAAAGGAGTGAGCTTGTTGGTCAAGACAGAATCGATTCTTGGTGTTTGGATGAGCTTTGAAGCTTGTTTCTTCGATCAGCATGTGTCGCCCTTTTGGGCAGCTGAAAGTAAACCTCAGAGCAGTGTGCAGTAAAACTCAGCCATGCCCACCTTCAGCCATCTCTTGTCAGAACGGTGTGGCAAAAAACGGTGTCTTTTTCACTGATTTCAGGGAGTGTACCAGTGTACCTGCCAGGGTGATATTCACAATGAGATACAATGAGTAGATTTGCTCAGCAATATCACCAAGAACGCAGGCGAGAGAACCGATGGCCACCGATGGCCCCCCATGTTTTTTTTTCGTGGCCGACCTCGCTGTTCCCCCCCTGGTGGCCGCAACAAGAGCAGCAAGGAAACCCACCAAGAGCAGCATCAGTTCGGGACCAAACTCAACCTTTGACACAGATAAACATATTCGCATTGTTTTTGAACAGGTCAGGATGCGTTTGAGTACAACCGGACACTTTCATGATTGGATATATATATATATGTTACATGTATAATATAAGTGTAAAGCATATCCGGATGTTTCTTTCCAAGACCAGTTGGCCACCCATGGCAACCCACCTTGTTGTGGAAATGACTCAGGTATCCACCCTGGCACAAGGGCGTGGAGTGCATGGGCGTTCTGCCAGTCCGGGGCACCTAGTGGCCGGTCGAGGAGAGACAAGTCCTTCAACAGGTCAATGACACTTGTTTGCTGGATAGTATTATATATATAGACTATAGTAGTCCCCAAATACATAGATAGAAACGGTTTTCAATATTGTTTGTTTAATGGGAATCTATTTTTCTATCTATTTGGGGTTCTAGATGTAGTTAATGTCCCCATATGAAGAGGTGGTTCTATCCAAATGAGGAGATTTAGTTTTGTTTTGTTCATCAAGGTTCTGCGTTGACAGAAAGACACCTGCACTGGAGGATGCAAACAATATATACCTACATGATCCTACATGTTACATGCAATGAGTCAATGAGGGTCCTTGAAGCAGATCCTGCGGTATGACCAAACAGATGGAAGTGGGAACACCACGACCGATGTCGATGGACATGGACGAGTAAAAAACATGTCAGACGGCGGAACCGGCAAAGAAAGGGTCACGCTTGCTTTTCTGACAACACTTCGTGTTCGATGGTTTTTGAGTTGAAAACAAACTTACCAGAATTCTTTTAAAACAAACTCACCAGTCGTCTTTTTGGGTTGATCGAACAGAGAGGGACCTGTTCACCGGTTCACCTGACTCGAAGGACCTGAGAATGAGTGAAGGCGTTGGAGTTCACTGGCGGGATTGTATGTGAGAGTCTCGCCAGGTGAACTGACTGGCGCTGGTGAATGGATCATCATTTGGGCAAGATGCTTTTCCTCAAACCTTTCCAGGGTTTGGAAGAAGGTCTTGCTTTTGACGGGTGGGTGGTACGTTTGTCATGGGTCTCAAGTTCAATTGCACCAAATGTTCAATATTGTCAGATCACCTAGTAGGAGAGGGGTAGCCACAGTATGCAACAGTATTGACCCTTCTGCTTGTGGTTCCACGTGCAGCTTTCTGAGCACGCCGGTTCGTCAAAACAAGGAATCTCTTGAAATGCACATGAGTCACATGAGAGATCATGCTTTTAGGGCACTACATGGATGGTTTTGGGGCTACCTTTGGGCATTCCCGACATGAGCCAGGAAGCATTGTGCATCAACCAACCAGGATCATTAATATTATATATACTACAAAGTCCTCCCAAATATACGCTTTTCAGTGCAGGAACCACTCTCAGTTCAGTCCCTACACCTGAACTCTCATTCAGATAGTTTCCTTGTGAATGTCTACGTAACTCAGCTGAATGTTCTCTATCAGAGTCAACCAGAAATTCCTCCACAGCTTTACTTTATTCTACTTTGGTCTCTTGTATTGAAAGAGACGTCATTGCCTTCCTTAATCGAACACTCGGGAGAAGCACCCAGCACCCAGCCCAGCCGGCGCCCCGATCACTTCCCAACCGAACGGCGCGTCAACTGCAGGTGCCGATCTTCGAGCACCTGCAACGGCTTTGTCCCGGCTGGGCCCCCTCCGAGGCAGATCGGAGCGGAGCGCCGGGTTCGCAGAAGCTAAGCGCCCAGAAGCTGCCCCCCCTTTCAAAGATCAGGTGCAGGACAGAGAATCTAAGCTAACTTTTTGGGGGGGTCACTTGATGTATGGGAATTGCATGGGTCTTTCATGTTCAAAGTAGTGCTGTATTTGACTTGGAATTTTCTTGTTCAGAATTGTTTTTGATGGTTATATGTGTTCCAACCAACAATATTTGTCCAACTGGTTTTTGACGTAGTTTCAATCTATTTGCATGTTCTAGGTTTTCTGTCTGTAGTGTTAAGGTATTGCAGCTGCTGAAATATCAAGTCGCGTGACCCGGGTTTTAATAACAGCACTGACCGCCGCGAGAGGGCTTACCTCAAGCAAAGGGTTTTGCAACATGTGGATTAGGCATTGCAGCAAGAACAATACCAGGACCAGCCTGCGACCAGAGATTTGTAACATGGTTTGGTCGTGAGCAGATGCTTCAAACAAGGAACCTTGAGCCTCAGACAAGGGACTTTGTAAGGTGCGTGCTGGGTCTTGAGCAGGGCCTGTTTAAGACTAGAACGAACGGTCAGCGGATCTCATCCGCTGGCCTCGAGCAGCGGTCTTTTTGGAACGAAACGAGGTCCGAAACACTTCAGGTTTCAGCGCGTCTTGAGCAAGGCTTGTCTTGAGTTTTGACTTAACAAGGCTTGAGAGAGCTTAAATCAAACTATTTGGAAGATGTGTATGTCCCTGCGCCAGGGCGAAGTGTTCTCAATCTTGCAAGCTTGCTGACAGTGGTGGTGCAGCATTTCCTGGTCACAGCAATGCAGACATCCGCCACCGCCGAACAGGAGCCGGACTCGGATGCTTCCAGCAAGAAATTGACTGCCCACATGGCGTGAAGCGTTGTGGATGAGGTGAAGAGCAGTGGAGCCTTAACTCCTATAGGAGTTCAAGAACGAGAGTGGGGGTAGAAGATCAGAAGATTGGGCGGAAGGCTATTGCCCTCAGGTCATTATAATATGCAAATAGACCATTGGGATGGAAGGTCCTCATTTACTCTGAGAGGGATCGGCTTTCAATCTCCGCGCCAAGCGCAGCTGGTGCAGGAGCAGAGAAGCTTGGGTAGCTTGCGTGGTGTTGCTGCGTCCAGAAGGAGTAAACAATGTTGGTAGCTTCTTGCTCCTAGTAGTAAGGCCAGGAGCCCCTAGTAGCTTCCTTGCTCCTAGTAGTAATTCGTAAGGCCAGGAGCCCCTAGTAACTAGCGTTCTTGCTCCTAATAGCGATGCCCTTTGCTCCGTTTGTAGCGTCCTCCAGCCCAGTCGCCGAAGGACCTCATCTTCTAGTTGATTGCGATATCTATCTCTTGGCATGGGTCATTAGCCGATTCAGAAACCAACCGATCAGGCAACTACGATTCAGAAACCAAAACAGCCGATTCAGAAACCAAAATGGCCGATTCAGCAACTACGATTCAGAAACCAAAACAGTCCGATTCAGAAACCAACTGGTCTGATTCAGGAACCAAATGAGCCGATTCAGAAACCAAACGGGCCGATTCAGAAACCAAGCAAGTCCCGATTCAGAAACCAAAACAGCCGATTCAGAAACCAAGTCGGCCGATTCAGAAACCAAACCAGGCGATTCAGCAACTACGATTCAGAAACCAAAAGAGCCGATTCAGCAACCAAAAGAGCCGATTCAGAAACCAAAACAGCCGATTCAGAAACCAAAACGGCCGATTCAGAAACCAAAACAGTCGATTCAGAAACCAAGTTAGACTGTTCAGAAACTAAGCCAAGATAATAGCGTTTTATGTGGATGCAAAGGGCTTTTACATTTAGTCAAGTAAGAAGTAGTGGTGGACGGCAGGAGGAGTGTGGGGTGGGGTGGGGTGGGGGGGGGAACCATGGCCAAGATAATAACTTATAACGTTCCATGTGGATGCAAAGGGATTTTACATGCATTCATATATGAGTTAACTTGTATCAACAGCATCTGGCTGAACAGAGTGGAGGGTAGGAGCAGTGTGGGGTGGTGGGGGTGTGGGGTGTGGGGGGGGTTCATGGCCAAGATAATAACGTTCCATGTGGATGCAAAGGGCTTTTACATTCATTCAAGTAAGAATTAGTGGCGGACGGCAGGAGGAGTGTGGGGTGGGGGGGTGGATGGGAACCATGGCCAAGATAACAACGTTTCTCCTGTTGCTTCGCGGAGAGATTTTGCATCGGTGGCACTACCACCATCTGCTACCACTACTACCACTACCACTACCACTACTACTACTCGACTACTACTACTACTACTACTACTACTACTACTACTACTACTACTACTAC